AATCGAACCTGCACGACCTACCTGACAGACAACACACTTGCCAGTACACCACACGCTCCTTTGAGTACATGTTATTGAAGTTCTTACAAGCTACCTTGTTGCACTATGTCGTATCCAAAGCTACGATTGGCTGCGAGAGGCGCGCCCCATGGATACAAATTTACATTTGCGGGCGCAATTTTGGTAGGGCGCGATTTGACGAGTTTGCTTCTTTCCACCTTTGTGGATTGATGTAATGTTCTCAGTCATGAAAGCGAATCTTTTGCTGTGCGGGCAGCTGATGAAGGCCTGAGTTCTGCAGATTATAAATTTTAGAAAATTACTGTTAAGATCAGCATTTTCTCAGCCAATATTGAGTACATTTCTCCAATTACTGCCGTACTGCTACATTCCGGAATTTTCGCTACAACGTAGCATGCTGGTGTAATGCAAAGAAACAACGAAATTCACTATGTTATATTACTTATGCAATAGTGGAGCTTGTGGACTCGTGCGTTTCCTTTTTCACGCTGCAACACTTGAATATAGTATTGTGTAGTCTCCCCCGCTATGGTTCATCACGGCGCGAGGGTGATTCTGGGTGTCGAACTGCGAAGTAAAACGAAGGTGTTCTCTAGCAGGGTCTCCCAAGCTGAGAAGGAGTTTGACGTTACCGTCTCCCCGGATGCCCAATTAAGAGTAGACCATGCCAGAAGCCCTCATCCTCTGCCTAATTCAGTCACTACGTGGTTCCCTGATCCATATAGGTCAGCGATTGCCTGTGGTGAAAGCTTAGCAAGCCCTGGCAAGGCTGCTAAGTTCGGGGGAAAATTCTGTTGCTTGTGCAGCATCTGAAAGGAGAAGCCCTGCACCTGAATCACGGCGTCGAACATCAAGACAGTGTCAGGTTGCACCACGGGTTTCGGACATCAACAACTGTCTTATGCTCTGCACCTAAAACGCCAGTGCAGTCTCCACCAATGCCGATCTTCACGCCTTTCTCGAAGCTGCAGGGCGCATCAACCACCACGTAATCGCCTTGCAGAAAACAAAGTCCAGGAAGACGGAAGTGCGGCAACTGAGTGATGGCACACTCATAATTTGTGGTGAGAAAGTTCCATCACGAAACGTTGGAGACATTGAATATGTCGTACACCTATGTTGTTCATCTTTTCGATTCGCATGAGATCCTATTACCTTACCTGATAAGCCTTCGACCCCGTCCTCTGCACCAAAAAACCATTACTATCATCAACTGCTACTCTCCAACTCCAACAGCGGATGAGTCGGAACCTGATGCTTTATATGAGGTTGAAGAAAGTCATCCGCAAAGCGAAGTCCTTCTACAAAGTTGTCATGACTTCAATGCGAAAATCGAGACAGAAGAAGGGAAGCATAGGATTGGGAGATTTGGATCATGACTCCGGAATGAGAATGGTAACCGTCTTGTTGGGTTCTTATCCGCCGCACGACTTTCATGGCAACTGCACTTTCATGAAGAAAGAACACCGGCGGTGGACACTGGAGTCATCCAACGAAGCAGTACAACCTGCTTTTCAGAGGACTGAGGGCCTGTGGTGAAAGTGCCTCAGTGCCTCGAAAAAGGAACTTGGAACGAATTTTGTAGGTTATCAAGGATCTGCTAGAGAGGGAAGAGAGCAGTGAAGTTGAATCCGACTGCATCACATTCCCAGTGACTGATATTAACAGATAAAAAACGGCCTTGCGAGAAGATCTTCGAAAGTACAGGCAATCGAAAATGGAAACAGTACAAGGAAGGATAAGTCTGAAGAAGTATCACAGAGACTTTCTCGACTATTGTGTTCCGCTGACCATTACTAAACGAAGACGGGACTCGCACATCTTCCCGACAAAAGATGGAATCGATCACGAAGAGATTCTACACCAATCTCTTTTTCGTCAACACCCCCGTCAAACCCGTTATTCCTAGTGGAGTACTGCCACCACGGATTCTACCTGCTGAAGTACGCGCCGCAATTAAGACCAAGAAGGCAGCCACGGTTCTAGGACCGGACCATGTTTCGGCTGACCTCTTACGCGCTGGAGGATCTCGCCTACGCGAGATACTTGCGGCACAACTAACGTCTTACCTTCAAAAAAAAGATCCCCGACTAGTGGAGAACCACAAGTACAATCCTCCTTCATAAGAGAGACGATAGGTTGATCTTCGTACTATCCAATGCCTGCTGAGCATGCTTTACAAGCTCTTCACGAAAGATATTCTCGCTCGCATAGCTGGATTTCGCAAGGGGTTCATTTGCGTAAATCACATCAAGATAGTTTCGAGGATTGAGGTTGTCGAGAGTACAGCCTACCTCTCGTCCTAACCTTCGTTGACTATGAGAAAGCGTTTGATAGCGTCGAGACTAATACCATACTGTCAGCGTTCGTCGACCAAGGGGTGGTCCCATCTTACGCGAGGACTTGGCCGACTGCTACAGGAACTGCTCTACAACG